ACCAGCGGACCGGCCCCAGGTAAGCAAAAGTTGCCTACCCCTGATCTAAAGGGTGAAGCAAAGGAAAACAATGTCAAAGAAATTACAAAATTCCAGCAGGCATAACTGTTTATACTCACACTAAAGGCTGGATGGATGAGGGAAGAGAGGGAGGTCAGTGCTTCCAGGACAAATCACGCACCTGCCTTTCACCAGGAGATGGTTCCCTTATTTGTAAAAGTACAGTACTTCCATTGACCTTTTGATAACTTGACTCAGGTCTTTTGGGTCAATTTTTTGACTAAAATTTCTAGACTTATATATGAGTATATATTCCAAGAAGGAAACTTTGATTTTACTATTTTATATAAGGGACACCATTTTACTAGGCCACGATATATAATCAGACTTGAGCATCTGCAGATTTTGTTATCCATGGGGGGGGGGGTTATCCTAGAACCAAATCTCAGTGGATGCCAAGGGCCTACTGTACTATACACAACTTTTAAACTGTGATTAGATCTGGAAAAAAGCAGCTTTGGCAAGATTTATTGCATGATGACACCTCCTACCGTAGCTGCTGCATCCCCCAACTATGAGCTGAGTGTCCCTTTTCACTGACAGGAGAAACCCGTCAATGAGCTGTCAGTAGTGTAAGACTCCTGGGGCAGTCATGTTTTCAGCAATCATGTGGTGTCAGTCTCCCACCCTCTCCTTGTCCCCCTCCCTCTTGCTATTTCCATGAACTCAATTGCTCCTCCCATTTCTTCTCTTTTGTAAAAAAAATCAACGCAGACCCTAAGCAGACCAGGGCCTAAGCAGACCAGGGCGTCCAGGACGCCCTGGGACGGTGCGCCGCACCGAGGCGCACTGTCGGCGCCTCTGAAAGGAGCGCAAAAATAGCACTCCTTTCAGAAGACAGGGAAAGTGCGCCCTAAACGCGTAGGGTGCACTTTCCCTGGCTTTTCCGCCACAGCGTGTGAGGACGCTGCGGCGGGAGGTTGCCCTGGGAGCGCCGGCCATGCGGAGGGCCGACAGCTCCGAGGGCAACCTCGGGAGGAGGAAGGGGCGCCGCTCGTGCGGCTGCCCCTCCTCTTCCCTGCCTCGGGGACGACTTTATTAGTCATCTGCCGAGGCCCTACGATTACAATAGCA